ACTTTCTATTTTCTTCAATGATATAAGAGTATGTTGAGGATTTTTTTTCTTCGAGATTTATGTCTTTGATAGGAAATTAGCAAAAAATTGATTAAATTAGATAAGTACAAGATCAATACCAAGAGAAATGAGCTAGAACTTCAAAAGATATATTATGAAGATTGAAAATTCCTTCAACCTTGACTCTAATATACACTAAGTATTAGGAAGCTTCTTGAAAAGTTTCCATATTACTTGAAGATGAAGCAATCTTAAAAAGCTTCTCAAGAAGTTCCCATGTTGCTTAAAGATGAAGAAATCTTAAAAAGTTTCTTAAACAACTATTTTAATCTTCTTATAAATATCTAAAATCTATTAAAATATTCTAAAATATTCTTAGAATATATTTAAAATATTTTTTTAGAATATAATTTAAAATATTTTAGAATTTTCTATTAGAATATTTTAAAAATCTCCTAAAATCTTCTAAAATTTAATAAAGTATTCTTAGAATATTTTCAAAATCTTATTTTTTACTTCATTGTGAATTAGGTTTAGAATTTAGGATTTAGGATTTGTGACTTTTTACATAGCTTAGAAATTAAGCCGACTTGTAAACCTTCTTTAGAATTTTCTAGAATCTTCCAAGACCTTCTAGAACCTTTTAAAATCTCTTAAAATCTTCTAAAATCTTCTAAAATCTTTTCCAAATGGATGTCCATGATGTCACTTCCTCTTTTAGTTCTAAGTTCCTCAAAGAGCAATTAAGTCATAATTGTTTAAAGGCAATGAAAATTAAAGATGTATTTCATGGTCTGTACAACATATTCTAGTTACCTTTCATAAGTCAAAAGTTTCATTCGTCCTCAAAACCAATGATAATGATTAATACTTTACATTTGAAACCAAGTTTGTACTTTAGTATCTTCATTGTAAAAACCTCCTTCAAACACTGCCTCTATGTAATTGTCATGAACAAGTTCTACTTCAATGATAATTACTAAAATCAACTATTAGGTATTCTTTGATATCTTTGAGGTTTAGAGAATTATTATTCTTGAGGTTGATAACATGAAGTACTTAATTGAAGTGATTTAACATACAAACTACTTAGTTGACATGGTTTAACGTACAAACTGTCATTTTTTGACTATCTATAGTTGAAACTACTAAGCTAAATAAGATAGACTACCAAATTTAGGATACAATAGAATAGATATGAGTTGCTATTTATTTTGTCTACAAAATCTCAATTCAAAAACTTTTGTACATGCTTCCTTTCTTTCTATAAAAAATTCCAAAAAAACTTTGGAAGTGCAATGTTCATCATTTGTAACTTCTAAAAAAAACTTTGATACATTTTATAAAAAATAGATTGTATATGTTATATCAAAGAAGATCATATATTTTATATCAAAGAAGATCATATATGTTATAAAAAATAGATTATATATTATATCAAAGAACATCTATATATTAGTTTTATAATAATTTTAAAATTATAAATTTAGATATGCTTCTATATATTTATAAAAACCATTAAAGAAATGGATGATGCCTATATTTTATTATTATTTTAATTATAATAATTTATCTAACGTCATAAATTTACCATTTTAATATTTAAATTCATATTTAACAATCATTAACACAACTAGTATTTTTAAAAGAGAAATAAAAATAAAATAAAATATTATAAAAAATAATTAGTATTATAATTAAATAATTTACAATTTATTCTTTCTATCCAACAAAGAAGATGTACATATTGGCTTGAAAGTATGATTTGGATATTATGTTCAATAGTCTAAAATTGCATAAAGTTCATTTATTTGTAAATTTGTATTTATGATATTTGAATATAGATTTCTTACAAAGGAAATCCTAGAATTCAACCCAAAATAAATTCTTTATCTATTTTATTTTTTTCATCTTAATTATTCCTAGATTATCTTTAAATAATCTTCTATCATTTTCTAGAACTCATGGATGTGCAGAAATACGTTGAATTTTGCAGTCATAAGAATGCTAAAACAAACCACATTATTCGTTGATCCAATGTCAAATTAAGTTTTTCATTTAGTAAAATCTGTAAGATTGAACATCCTGATTTAAGATCAATCTCCGATATTTTAACCTTCAAATCCTTCTTGACTTATCCATGAGGTGTTAAGACGAACTTTCTCTCAAATCCAAGTAACCAAACCGCTAAAACATGAGACCTTCACAATCACAAGAAACTTTTCCATCCACAAAAGATCTCCTTTCCCTTGAGAATGAATAAATTATTTTGACAAAACAACTTTTGATGTACCCATGTTGAATGGAAAAAAGGATGGACGACCGGAAGGTAAACACGGTCTTCCGCATTCAAAGTCCAGGCAAAACATCCAATGCAACATTCAAAAACCCGTAAAGTGACGACCCCAAAAACTCTAAACCCTAAACCTTAAAAGTGAACTTCACTATGAACACAGACAGAGGTTCCGAGGCAAGGTAGGCTCGGAAGGGGGTACAACCGGAACCTAGTACCGAGCCTGAAGTATCGTAGCCTCGGTAAGTTCATCTAATCCAAGTCATCGAGCTCATCCGAAGTTTTTAGTGCGGATGTGCCTCCAGCGATGACGAACGTGGCGAAGACTGCTGATGTTTCTAGAAAAGGCGGGGGGGGGGGTTATCCATTAAACGGCTTCACGGTGAAGCCTTTGAGTAGGTGATGCCGCCGCGTCCATTCGGCGCGGCTCCTTCGCAACCAACTGTTTGCGGCCGCTGCCTATGTCACTCGCCCAGTGATTTCAGTTCCCGTGGCAGCTCCTGGGTTCGATATGAGCTGGTATTGGATTTTACGTCAGATTTGCAGCGTCTGGTGAGGATCGTGCGTTCACATTGCGTGAAGAATTTTGTGTATTAGTTACTTTTTTATTTTTATTGTTCGGGTCTCTTTAGTTTTTACTTTTACCCTCCCTTGTTAAATAGTAGTAAAAGTTTTATTATTTATATTTTAATTGAGTTGATTTTACACAAATATCTCTGTCTATATATATATATATATATATATATACAATGAATGAAGTCTTTTTTAGAAAATTAAATCTTTAAATTATGGAAAAATTATAAAAAATCAAAGGAAAAAATCAAAGCAGAACAATGACATCACTTTGACATTGATGTAATTTTATTGAATAAGATTGCATGTAGTTTAGCATTAATCAATATTCCAAAAAAAATCCTTTTACATTTTCTTTCCAAAGATGTAAAGCGTAAACATAATATATATCTTTTTGATTATCACTCATACATTTCTTATTTTAAAGTTATATATATATATATAGCCGATTTGGAAAGACAAAGTAATAGAGAGTACGATGACCAAGGTGGTATAGGTCATGTGAGATGCAGTGGATTAAATAACAGTAATTATCGAAAGGATTTGTATATTACTAAAATATACATATAAAATATATATTTTTATATATATATATATATATATATATATATTTGAAATTATCTTGGAAATTCAATCTAATTTTCAATGTGATAGGAAACTTTCGAAATTAAAACAAGAACAATCATGTACAATGAAATCCACAGCACCTTTATGCAAGTTGAAAAAATAATAATTATGGCATGGTAGTATCGAAATACCATGTTTGATTTTTCTTAAATTAAAACCAATACATTGTGGGTTGAATACTTATCCAAACTTGTGATTGAAGAGTGATGCAGAAATTGGAAAAATAAACAAAATAGTGTTTCTATAATAAATGTGCAACATAACTGTCTGAAAATGAACACTCTACAATACATAATTTAAAATGCATTTAAATATAACATGTTTTGAAATCATAACAAAGTCAAGATGAACTTTTACTTATTTATTCGTTTATTTATTGGATCATTCCAGTAAAAAGATTATTCCAAATCTAACAATAAAACGCATATATTCGCATAATAAATAAAGAAATAAAATTTAAAGTACACAGACAGAAAATAAAATTACATTTCTACTGACTCTGTAATGCAACACAAAGAAGATCTTAACGATATTTTCATATTAGTATTAATTTTCATGTTATATTAATTCTGATTAGTCGACATGGACTCTGGGTGCGGCTGTTAACCAAGAATCATCCACAGAAACTTGCCTTTAGAGCAGTCCGCAAACAATATGCATCCATCACTAGCCGGAAACACCCAGTCAGATTCTTCACCATCTACACGATCCCAAAGCTCCCCATCATTATCTCGTCGGGGCACTCGGGGAACGCACGATGTTCCCAAGTCGGGCACCTTCCGGAAGGCGGGACCCCGCGCCTCGCTGCCTCTTCACGGCTTCCTAGAAACTTCGTGTTGGAGACCTTCACTTGTCGAGTCATCAGGAGGAGCCAACACTGGCACCTCGTCATAGAAATTTACATTTCAAGAAAATAGAATTGTTTTTGGAAAAACCTCGAAGAAGGGGATTGGGAGGAGAGCCAGTGGAAGAATGTGACAGCTTATTTTGGGAATGTGGTTCCATATTCGGCCTCGTCAGCCACGCCCCTCACAATCTTCAGCTTGTTCTCATTCGTGGGGTAGCCCTTTTGGGATAGCCCTTTTGAGACGTGGGGTAGCCCTTTTGGGATTTGCGCCTTGGGGTGCCACCATTGTTGAATAACCAAAATCAGGGTTTCAGGGTTCTAGAGCTCTGGGAGTTTCAGCTGGGTTGAGGAAACAGAGGACAATCTGGGGGAAAGAAGGATAGAATTGTAGCGAGGTTTTGACAACCTACGATTTCTCGAACAGGAAACAAATTGAGACTTCCAAGCAAAAGAACACCAATATTGATTCCCAGAGCAAAACAATGCAGACACACACCCCCCACGGTAAATTGCTTTTCGCGACAAGTCTGTGATGACGATGGATGTCGTTCGCGACACCTGAGCGTGCTCTGCGTTCGTAGGCGAGACGTGGAGGAAGGAAAAGCCGTGTCCCATAGCGTAACAGAGTGACTGTATCTCCCACCCAGGCGCTCGTTTCAGGGAGGCCAGAGTTGAAATTTCCTTTCCGGCTTCCTAAGTGTGAGGATGGGGTCATTCTCGCGCTTAACCGCCTTGTCCTAGCCTGGTGGCCGGACCCTGAAAACATTTCGTACAGCTCCTCAAAGGATTAACCGTCAGGGATCTCGTTCCATCAACAATTCTACCTCCTCGCCCGCACTGCTTATCTGCACTGAGCTAAGCTGAGTTACTGCTACTCGGCGGAACAGAGTGCGCGCAACTCCAAGGAACAAATTCAAAGCAGGAATTTTGGTAGAGGAAGAGTCGTAATCGATTGAGTTCGGCGATGTAATGGAGAGAGAGTTAGTTGATTGATTGATTGATTGATTGATCGATCCACAGACTGAAATTGAGAAGGGAAGTAGATGAAAGCAAGAGCTGAATTTTCCTCTTAGTCGTTCTTGGAATTGCGCGAGTGATTGTAAATTTGCTGGGATTGGAGGATTTTCGGTTTCGCAGAGGTTTCGTGGTGCTGGGTTCTGGCTCGAGGATTAAAATTACTACAGATTGGAGAGTGCGGGTGAAGGTGGTCACTAAGGTGGTGAGCATTAGGTCAATTGCCTTAGTGGATAGCTTGCAGGGCTGTGGGTGAGCAGTAAGAGGTAGGCCAGCTCGTGAAGAGCTACTAGTGAGTTTGCACAAGATTGAAGGTGACACTTTAATTTTCTGAGAGTTTAGGAGGTTTAAAGACATTCAGAGGAGGATTGAGCAAGAAGGAAGGTCGTCGTTTCTTCAACATTCATTGACGGGAATTCAAAAAGCAAGCCGAGTTTTTGTTTCATTGTTTCTACTTGCATGACGGTGAGCGGAAGAACTCTCCAAGCTGAGCGAGGTCGAGGGGAAGTCGTTATTACAGTTGCGAAGAGCAAAGTATCGGGGGTAGTAAATTCAGCAAACATAGGTATAAGCAGCAATTTCCCGTCAGCGCACTGGGAGGCGATCGCGACGAAGACGATTCAGCGGATCGGAATGCAGTTGGGCAGCGGAGGGGATGACAAGCTGAGCCCGACTTCTGGTCATATTGAGAAGCCAGCCCGCAAACCCGGAAAGAGATGGAAGAAAGGGGCAATGAAAGGCAAGGGCGGCCCTGAGAACGCTGCTTGCGAATTCCGTGGCGTGCGACAGAGAACTTGGGGCAAATGGGTTGCTGAAATTCGGGAGCCTAAGAAACGCGCTCGCCTCTGGCTCGGAAGCTTTTCGACCGCCAGAGAAGCTGCGTTGGCTTACGATATTGCAGCTCGCAAATTGTACGGTTCTATGGCGGAGCTCAATCTGCCTCCCAGTGAGTCAGCTGGAATTGATTCCGTTCCTTCCTCAACGCCCACAAAAGAGTCATCATCGCCCCCCAGAGTAATGCACGACGTTGAGATCACAGAACACCTAGAGCTTCCTCGTCAACACAGTCTCGGAACTTCGGCAAGTGCAGGAAGTAGCAGTCGTACATCAATGCACATAGGGATTAGGGAGGATCACTTCGATGTCGAATTAGTGATGGCTGATTCCGGAAGAGCTTTCGGTGCTTCGGACGCGAGACAGGTATTTCCTCATGAAATGGTTAGGGATAGTAGGGGAATGGGAGAGGCAGGACCTTCGCTGGAGATGGGTACAGATTCGTCTTCGTCGTCGCAAGTCAATCCACCACATGAGCTTTTCTCTATCACACCCGAGTTTCAGCAGCACCGGTATTACAACTTGCAAGGGAGTAGGCTAGGCACTTCTTTGTCAGGCGAATACCTCAAGGACATCGAATCTTTCTTGAATCGAATGGACGATGACGATGACTATGCGTTGGGATCGAACTCCAGCTTGTCTCAGTCGACAGAGAGTGCAGGTGGCTCCTATCCCCCTGACCCTCATTGGGATGACGAAAACCTGGGCACCCAGTTTCTTAATTCCGAGCTGGAGAGCCTGGACAGTGTCTTGAACGAGCCTCTTGTGCCTGAGAACGTTGAGCTCTGGGACACCCGAGATACATTGCCGCCCTCTGACCCCTCTACCTGGCAATAACACAACCCTCGATCGCGTGTTTTTCGTATCTGCTACAAATTATAGTTTGTGTTATGGTAAACCTGTTAGGAGATAGATTTACGATGAATGTCCATGAAGTAGGGATTCAGATTGGCGATCTCTGCAGTCTGTTCTGTTCGTGACATTTCGCGGCACATTTTTCAAGCTGCCGAGTTAGGTTAGCAGTGCAGGATATAATTACAATTCGATAGAAAACATCTGTGACCACGCGAAAGTTGGCGTTGGCAGAGACCATTTGGGGGTTTATTTTAGTGTCGAAAATTAGTGTTCCTAAAACCCTAAACCCTAAACCCTTGTTGTAACTTAACGCGCCAGGCAATGAACCTGGATTCGTTCTTGTATAATGAAATGTGGTTGCTGTGTATTCATCTCTGCATTCACGAATCTTGTTAGTGGTTAATCGAGATTTTGATGAAACTCAGTTTCAAGTAGTCAACACACTGGCAATGACCATGTTTGGTAACAAGAAGCTGTATCAATCAATACATACAAGCGAAGCGCATGGGGCTCAGAGTTTGCGGTTACGGTTGTTGATTCCCAGGAGAGGGGTTCTCTGGCATTATTTCCCTAGAGATCCAAATTATGAGCCCCAGAACAAGGATGCTTCCAAGTTCTGCTCACTTAGATGGTGCTATTTTGAATTCGGCGGACGAATCTCACATCAAGGGAGCCAGTTCTCGCTTCGACAGATGGTGTGTGGGGATGTAACGCTCATCGACTGTTCGAAGCAACAGAAAAATAATCGTGACTTCTTAAAGAAAGACCTGCACAGAGCTCCATGTGAGCATTTGGAGCGGAAGCATCCTAATGTCAAAACTGTGGATATACAAACGATGAAGGCAAACTAGTCCAGGGAAAAGAGAGAAATGTTGGCTGGAATCAGTCAAGATCATGCACCTTCTGAAATGAGCCAGTCATTGCACACGATTTTACTTCATGCAGAAATATGTCTGAAAAATAACATGTGATTTTACTGTTCGTGCCGGTTCGCCTCGTTTATCTGCGTAATCCTTCAATTTCCCGAGTTTCTCATGGTACTGATGCATTCTTTCAGTTGCATCGCTTGACTTGCTATCGACCAAGTCACCTGTGATCTGCTTGCTTAGCGGGAGCAACGCAAGCAATACTTCAACTTTGGATCCGACATGCACCAGAAACCGTTTGTGGAAACATTGGGAGAAATTTCATCACGTGTTTGGAACGTGCATGCCATCATTAAATGCGTCAGCAAATCGTGGTTGCTCAATAGTGGCAAGTGAGCTGCGGATGAACTTCATCAGCTGACAACTTTGAACTACAAGATTGAGCAGCTAATCCCTTGATTCCTGCAGTATCTTTTATTAGAATTCTGCGGTCTATTAGAAAACAGCCGGTATAATGGAGTGTTGAAAAGCGCCAGTAGGTTGGAGTGGAACTGGAATTGAAACTGTTCAGCTGCTGCTCCAGAAGGAGCCCACTGCAAGGAAGACTGAACTGCGAAGCTTTGGTGTGTTCAATGTTGAACAAGTACTGCTGCGGTTGTACTTGTGTCTATTTTACACATGCCTCAAATTCCTTCGAAGTTCGCCTTCGTTCTATTATTAGAAAAATCGGGCTGCAGAGTCCACGCCAACACAGTCGACAGTTTCGTAGCACCCTTCAGCACAGACTTCCAAGCAACATTTCTTCGTCTTAGCCGTTCTACAGTTACTCTCATTGATTTATGCGGCGGATCGACCCCGTTTGTAACAATAATACAGTAAATTACACAAAAATCAAAAGTCCTTACCGCGTTGTAGCCAATTACGGGGAGAGTTCCATGTGTTCTTCTGCGATCTCCAGTGAGCCATTAAAGGAACCCTCTCACACTGCTCATCTGGTCAACTCCGTATCCAGGTATGCCCCAGGTCATTTCTCTTGCGACTGAACGCTCAAATTCAGTGTGCTGAACATGTGAACGAGAATCATTGGCATCACGATTACCCCTATAGACATTTTTCAGGCCTTGAAAGGATTTTCTTGTTAAGAACAGAAGATACCAGAATGCCTCTTCGAAAGAAGATCCTTCAACTTCTCTTTCTAGGTTCATTTACAGTTCTACACAGTCCTTTAATGAAAAGGTGCTGCCGACTGCTAATACCCTTGCACTTGCAACACAATTCTCCACCTTCATCTCTTACTATTGCAAAATTGGTATGAGCATACTCCAAGTCTAGAATTTGGTTGGTAAGATCGTAGTTGCACCCGAAGCCTCTCACGTCAGAGCATCCCCACCCTGCCCCACTAAACTGCCGTGCCACTTGGCTAAGATGGTGAGGCCCCACCAGTCTACGACAAATCAAGTGGCAATATGTACAGGGAGGAAGAGAGACCATATGGCTCTTGCCTCTATTTGGGATTGTGTCGACAACACCATCTTCTCACATGTTGGAGTGTATACAATGGTCAATAAAGTAAGGTTAGCTCTTGGAAACACATATTCTGCAAGTAATATAATCACACAAGCATATCTACAAGAAAAATTCATTACACAATAAATGAGAGGTGGCAAATTTGTCACTCAACATCTACACACATTTCAAAAATTTACTCTAACAATGTCACTCTGCCAAAATCATTATTCCATTACAAATGAAAATATCAACTCTCATCTACACAATTTCAAAATTTTACTCTAACAATGTCACTCTGCCAAAGTCATTATTCCATTACAAATGAAAATATTAACTCTCATGAGATTGATGCCCTCACAATATGGCACCATTATACAAACCTTGCATACAACAAGAACCGCAATGTTTTTTGCATTAATATTGATCCTTCTTTAAGAAGAGACAATAATAAAAGGCTCATCCTTGGAATCACAAACCCGCTTTGCCAACAGCAAAGGGAAAGGAAAGTAGCAACTAAGATCTCCTACAAAATTCAACCCAAAACACTATAAGCAATCAAAAATCAAAACAAAACCAACAACTCCATGTCTCCATTGCAAGAAAATGGGTCATTATGGATCCGATTGTTACAAAAATAAAGCAAGAACAAATGCAAATTTTACCACTTCAACTCATGACAATTGGAAGACTAAACAAACACAGAAGAACAACCATGTTAATGAAGTACCTCCAGCATTTTATCCTCATGAATATTTCATCCAAGCATTTTGATCCAAAAAATCTTCAAAATCGGGTACACAAAAAGATGCCCAATGGTTTACTGATACGGCAGCTATCCACCATTTGACACACAATTGAACACAATTTGTAAATTTTGAAACTTTATCCCATTGAGAGAACAAAGTGCATGTTGGCAACTACACAACCCTACCACTAGCTGGCCAAGGAAAAGTTGAAATCTTGTTGGAAAATGGCAAAACAATTTGCCTCACAAATACATTATATGTACTTGATCTTCAAAAAAACTTATCCTCAATAAGTGATTATGATGAGTACAAAAGTGGTATTTTCATTAAAAAACCAAATGCTTTGCCTTCTCAAGAAGGAAGACACACCAATTGCAATCTGTCTACTTTGCAATAAATTCAACATTCTAGGTCCTATAAAATTTCTTTGCTCAGGCGATACTCTCTGCCTTGGACTTTGCATGTCATTCTAGCCCCTTCACCACTATTTTTTTGGGCCACGCACCTCCTCCACCTTATGTTGATTTTTTAGATCACACACCTCGACAATTTTTTTTAAGAGCAACATAAATCAAGTCAGCAGTCCAAAATCAATTTTTTATGAAAACTCAACAATTCCCTCAAGAGGCTCAGCTATAAATTTTGCTTGTAAATCTAGCAACTTTGGCACCAATGATTGGGTCACATTAGTACAAATCGACTTAAAAAACTTGTCCAAAGTCAAGTGGTCACAGGATTATCTATCAAAAAGGTTCTGCACCAACTATGTTCAACATGGCAAATAACTTGCTACCAAGTTTTCAAAGATGGCTAGCTTCTATGCAACAAGATCTCTTGAATTGGTTCACTCCAATCTTAGTGGAAGAATTGCCACTCCTACCTTCTCGGGATTTTAGTATTACGTCACTTTTGTTGACAATTACTCTTAATATACTATTTTAAGACTTCTTTGTAAAAATAGAAAATGATTTGAGGCGTTCAATTTTTTCATTGTTGGATGGAAAAACAAATTGGAGTAAAACTTTGTACTCTCCGCTCAGATCAATGAGGAGAATACCATTCCTCCAAATTCAATCAATATTTAACTACTCATTGCATACAACTCCAACTCACTGCAGCCTACACTCCTTTTTAAAATGGTGTGGCCAAACAAAAAAATCGTACCCTTCTCAACACCGACCCTTGCATGCTTCACTAAACCCTAGTTTCACAACAATATTGAGGCGAAGCTATTACTTGTGCCACATATCTTCAAAATCGGTGTTCCATGAAAGCAATCCTGCAGAACACCACTCGTTTTGAATTCTGGCACTATAGAAAGCCCAATTGGTCACATTTCGCATATTCGGGAGTAAATACTTTGCCAAGATTCTTGATGCTCTATGGGTGAAGCTTGATTCTCAATCTCAAGAGTGCATCCTCCTTGGCTACAGAACCGAAAATAAGGCATATAGGCATCAAAAAGTACTAAATGGCAAGATGATTATTTCCCGAGACGTTGTGTTTCATGAGGGGACTATTCCGTATCCACCCGACATTATTCCCTCTTGGCAATTCCTGAAACTGGGATACAACTGTTGTACTATCACCAATCTGTGCCTGATCCGAATCCTCTTGGTAATCGTGCGGCTCAAGTTCCCTTGGCTACTTCCTTGGTCCCTGCTGTGAGGAGTATTGACTTTTCTACCCGCCTAGTTACCCGGACATACCCTACCCGCCCTTGTATCCGCCCCTGCCCGCCAAACTGCAGGCCCACACCCGGCATGGTATAATGCAGTATTCTAATAGAGTCTTGGGTGCCTGCCATGTCGCTTAGCAGTTTTCGGACCCACGTTTATGTTTTTTTTAGTTGTAATAATGATTAGTATCAAGACAAGAATGATAGTCGGAGGATAGGGTTTGCCGTCGCTCCACTAGCACATCATATCTGGTGTGTCGAACCCAATATTTGTAGGGCTTTGTACCACCTGTTCAGCGAGAAGGTCGATTGTGGGGCCGGATCCAGGCCAACCTATTTTCAGCGACGGCATAATTTTGCTTGGGGTCTTTTACAGTGGCGCAATGGGGATGGCTGAAGCACAATCTTCACGACCACGCCATTTAGCTTCTCGAGCAAGAAAGTTATTCTGCAGGGTAATCGACTTCCTGAATCATCGAGCAAACAGAAGGATTGTAAACGTGGGGGTTGTCAATTACCCCACTGGCGAAGTTAATCGGCTCTTCCGATTAACACCGACACAACCGTGTCTGCACCCTGT